ACTGGGAATATGCCTGTTTGTTATCACACGCCTTTCCTTCTCTTTCCCACCGGGCCAAACGCAAGGACTGGTTTTCAGTGGGGCAACCCCGCCAGAAGGGGAGGCAGGCTCCGTAGGTGCGTTCCGCTGCTCCACCCATCGGGCTGGTTGTGTCCCAGGACTCCGAAAACAAACATTTGGCTTAAAGGCGGGTAACCGCAGCGGAAGGGGCAGTTATCAGCACACCCTCCTCCTGCAGTGATAATGTGTGGCCAGTGCCAGGGAGTAGCTGGAGCAGGGAGCGAGTCTGATCCGCCCAAACGCTTCATTGGATGCGGGATTGCGGGGAAGTGGTTTAGGGCTCGCTGGTTTTTAGCCCTAAACCACACGCTCGTCTCCTTCGCAGAGGTCTCAGTGGGGAGTTGCACGTTTGTTCTATACCAGGGCAGTAACTAATGGGCCAAGTCTGGTTTCTAACCTCTAACGACAAGGAAGCACATTAAATTCTCAGGACAGCAAGCCGGGCAGAGCAGCGTTCTTTGTAACAGAGCAGCTTTCTCAGCCAGGGTGGAGCTGTCAATGGATTTCCAAATCCCCCTTTGTCGGCAATGAAAACGCGTTAGGAGGCGGTCCGCAAAAGACGGTTACAGAACAATTAAGAAAACAATTGCTCGTTTATGCAGGGTCAGCCTGCGGGACAGTCCTGGAGCAACCTCCCCCTGCTCCAGGGGTGTGCAAACTGGAGCGAAAGATTTGTCGGCGTGTGTACTCTATCTGCACACGCTTGTGCAACACGGGTGTTGTCGCCCTGCGGTGTTTGCACAAGCATGTTGTGGCTTTCCCTAGGCGCATTCCTGGCTGTGTTGTGGTCACTCGCTCGTAGCAGCAGCTCCGTTCTCCAGTGCCTAGCTTTGCCCTGTACAATGCAGTACCCTGGTAAGTGGGCCTTCTGTCCCCAGCTGCACCGGGACAAGACTCGCCCCAACCTGCAAGCCTCGCTTTTCTTTGCACTTGCAAAATCAATTGGTTGACAGCTAACTCATTCCCCCCCCGCGCGCCCTGAAAACTTATTAGCTATTCAGCCTCTGCGAGCCCTCGAAGCCCCCTTTTGTCCCAGGGAGGACTCGAGACCCCATCATTAGCGCTTATTACTCTGAGCAGTTTGACAGCTTCATAGACCGCTTACAAGACTTTTCCATTCATCCCTGCCCAGGGCTGCCCTGCTTCTCAAAAGAAACGGAAATATTCAAACTCCCCCCTCCCCAGCTGAATAGAGAAAAAGCTGTTTCTCTTCTCCTCCCTTCCCATTCACGTTACTTTTGATACAGTATTTTCTTCTTTGTTCCGCTAAACAGGGAGAGGTCAAGGCAGACTTTTCTCTCGCGTTTTGTTTAATGTAAATACAGTTTTCAAATTTTTTTTAAGCAAAGTGGGAGAAAAAATACATTAAGTGCCTGGTGCTGATTTTTGAGAAGAGAATGTTAGGGCATCTCATGTGTGTGAGAAAGAGATTCCTGCCTTGATGGTTCTTACAAGAATAACAACATCAACATGCAGGGAGGCTGAGAAGTGAGGGGAGCTGAAGTGCTTTACAGCCTTACAGCCTTTGTAGCAAAATATAAGACGATCAGTGGAGCATTCTATCTTCATATACACGTTACATTGCTAAAATCTCTCTCTGTCTCACAGACGCCTACACACACGATCTAAATGAATCTATATACGATGGTCTATATGAATCTATATACTATAGTTTACAATGATCTGTATGACTCTACATACTATGAGGATATAATATGGCTCCGGTGGTTTTATATTTTGCTATAGTGCGTAATTAAGGTCCCCAAACGTTCAATTTTTCTCATCCTTCAGAATTCTCCGTATAATGATGTTGTCCTTTTAATATACATAAATCTATAGTGTATCCTATTGTATCCTCCTAGTACTCCTAGCTGTATATAAATATAGATAATTTTATATAGTAATATATACCACAAGGACATAAAACCAAGAAAATCGTAGCTAGCTAGATACGATGAAGATAAAAAGCAAAGAAAACCCTACAAACGGACAGTATTGTCTGTATCTGTATAATATTTAGATAGTTATCTAACTAGATATCAAAATCTTCCATATCTATCTATCTATCTAGAGAGAATCAGAACAAATATAAGGTCCGATATTGTTCCTATCCTATAAAAGTAAATGGCAAAACTCTCGAAGACTTCAATGGGTATTTGGATGGAAATAAAATATTTTACTCAATTCTAGCAGATTCACTTCACAGTTCGGAAGAAAATCTTGAGATAACAACTAATTGTTTGAAAGTGCTGCCTGTCAAGAAAGTGCAGCGCTTAAAACGTAAAAAGAAGCCACAATACACTTTACGGATGTGTTTCAGTCCCGGGCAAAACCGCTCCCTTTAAACAAGCTTGTAAATCACGTTCTCGTTTTCAAACTGGACGCTGTGTCCGATTTTAGAGAGATGTATACCATGGAGTTAAAGTTATATAGTTAAAACATAACTTCTTATCGTCAAACAAAATGAGAATTTGATTTTGAAAAAAGGTACCCGACCATAAAGAAAATTCTCAGCCTCCTCTTTTAACATAGAATTAGGTGATTGCATTGAGCACCACGGGATTTTAATTAGGAATGATTACTTTAAAAGGTAGGAAGTCTGGTAATACAGCAAAGCCAATATATTAATCCGGGCAACTTTCTATTTGTAGATATCATCTTGATCAGACTCAGTAGATATGCTGCTTTGGTGGGAAAACACCACGTGTAATGTCTGGTTTTTTTAAAGTGTCTTCTGATAACATTTTTTAAAAGTAACCAGAGTTCCTAAAGCTCTAAAGCGATTTAGCCTGGTTATGTTTTGAAATGAAACTAGATGCTTTTTTTTTTTTTTTTTGGAAAATTTTTTTAATTTTTTTTTTTTTTTAAATTAACTTTTTTTTTTTTTTTTTTTTTGGCAGGCACATATTCATAATGTATATTTCTCATCCACAGCTCTGTTGGTTTCTCATGCTATTAAAATATGAAATAACTTGCTCCAAACGGACTTAGTAACAATCAGCCTCTGCGTGTTCGGCCCATCACTGTGGTGCACTGGAAAAAATACCGAGGAATGATTGTGATCATAAGGAAGTAAAACGCAGATTCAGTGCCGATGTTCCACGGATTAAAACACAAATTTAGGAGCAGCTAAAAGCTCAGCGCTAGGTGGGAATCTGCTTTCGGCAGCTGGGGGGCAAATATTAAGTGACTCTCTCAATGAAGTTTAATGACAACGGCTCTCTTCCCCACCCCCATCCCTTTTAAGAGATGTTTCCAGAAGATATGGGTGTCTGGTTTGAAGGTTTCTTTCGATTCCTGAAGCTGAAACGGGACTGTCTCCTTTAGAAACCGAATGAGGATAGTCGCGGTCCCAGGATTCCTTCAGTGGTCTGGGAAGCCCCGTGTCCCTTTGCTCCCCCTGTGTACAACGCCTCGCCTGCTAAAACAAGCCGAGCAATCAGCTTATTCGGGGAGGCAAGTCTCTGAGGCCAGGGAGGCAAATGCAACGAGCCCGAGCGGACAGAAAAAGCACAGCTCAAGCGATTTAAAGATCAATGTCAGAATGTATAATATAAAATCCTTTTGCTGGGGAAAAGCTCAGCCCGCTCTTTGGATGGCGTTGGCGTTCTCAGAGCAAAATCAGTCTTAAAAAACAAACGAACAGACAATGCACGTTAAAGACCCGAAGCGACGGGATGATTTTTTCCCCGGTCTGATCTATAATGGTGCTCTGGTCTGGAGGGTTATTGAATTTATGAACCTCTATTTTATTTGCCAGGTAAAGAAGGGAGCTGCGGCTGATGTTACACGGAAGGGGTATTTATAGCCTTGCTTACAGGCTTCCTCCCTCCCCCATTCATAATTCACGGTTGATACAGCGCGAAATCTCGGCCATTCGAAGCAAGATACGGGCAAACAGCCAGATCTTGCTATGCGCCTAGCAGGCAGCACTGTCTGCCCCCTTCCTTCACAGGGGACTAACTAGAGCCTATATTCTCAGCTAGCCACATTCATGTCTCTTGACCAGCGTGGAGGAGTCAATTTCCCCCTTACCATTGTGCTCTCGGTAAAATGCAGATTTCCCAACGCTGCCCATCCCGCCCCGTTTTGATCCCTTTTAACGCCTGTGAAATGGATTTGATATTTAGTTACTGCTGAACTGTATAATAAACCCTGCGTGGGGAAGTCACGCAGAATCCAGAGCGCTTCATCACCTATCGCTCTCTCTGTGTTGCAAATGAGGAATGACTAATTATTTCGGAACCAGGCAAGTCTCTGGTGAGATTTCAGTGGAATCAGAGAACCACCTTCCTAAGCCGACGGTCTTTGTGCATTGGCTCCGACCTTAAGAATTTAAAAACAGACCCTTTAAGTAAGAAAAGTTGCTCACCAAATATTTTATTATTGTTTTAGGCTGCTTCATACAGTACTGATCCTGCACATGCTCTACTAGTCACCTGTGCACATAGACAACAAGCCAAAATAATAATAATAATCATAGAAAAATCTACCATAGCAATCCCTTAAATAAGTAAATAAACATTATATATATATATATAAAAACCCTTCAAAGTAAAGCAAAAAAAGAAAATAATAATAATAAAATAAAATAATAATAATAATAACAGCGTCTTTTCAACATGAAATACCCACGCGGGATACAGGGCAGGCGCTCAAACATTTTGCAACTTGGCATTTTTGTTTTTGAGGCATCGGTTCAGCAGATCCTTTTAAATAAAGGCGACACACATTTCTGTGAATAGAGTCTCCTAGGGGGCTAAGACGGAACGCGCCCGCTGTTTGCACGGGAAGAGGGCATGCTCATGGATCATGGCGCCCTGGCAATTTGGCAGCCTGGGGTAGGCTCCGAGTGGGAACGCGAGCCAGGGTGTTCTGTAGGCAGGCAGGCACTGTGTTTAGCTCGATCGCTCTCCCCCTGTTTTGTCTTGGCTGTTGTGTCAGATGTCACATTCACTGTCGCTGGATGTGATGGAAATGGCAGAGGTGGCCGCTTTGCTGGACAGGCTGGCTGCGGGACTGGAGGCGGCGCCCAGCGGCTCCCCTGCGCTCTCCTCCTCGGCCTGCAGCGAGCGCACCGAGCCTTGGGATAAGACCTGCTGCTGTAGCCTGCAAGGAACCAGGAGACATATACAATCACATCGCAGCAAGAGCCGTATATCCCACCCCAGTCACCGATCCCAGCCAACAGCTCCCCCACCCCAGTCACCTATCCCAGCTAACAGACAACAGCTCCCCCACCCCAGTCACCTATCCCA